GGGGGGGGGGGGGATGTAAGTGTTGCGGGATTTTAATGCTTGAATGCTTGAATGCTTGAATGCAGAAAAGTATCAACGGTAGGGCGGGCTGATTCCCAGAGGAAAGACGGGAAGAAGTACCTGAACAAACCAGGAAACATGACCTTCGTTGCCCCTGTTTGAGAGAGCTGGTCTGCAAAGGTCCTGTCCCCTGCTTCCTCCTGCAATCGGGAGTTACATTTCCCGCATATTCCTCTGGCGACGATCAGCCCGCACTACCGTCGATACGGTACACTTTCCATTTTTCAAATCCCTATGGCAAGGACCAACATAATGCACTACGGCACAAGCAACAAGCACGCACGATGACCCAGCAGACACCACCTCCACAGTTCAGCACGCATGAAAACGAGACGCTGGTAAGACGACCCTATCAAGCGCACGGCGTTGACATCTGCCAGCCTCTCGCGGCGCGGAAGGTTTGGACGGACGCAGTGATGCCGAAGCAGCGGGAAGACGCGCGGGGTGACCTGGCGTATTTTCAACTCCAGCTTGACAACGTACCTACCCCACACACCGCCTCACGGACGTGCTCCAACAGCTGTAGCTGCGGAGACACACTGCCGTACCCGCGTCTAGCACACAACCAAAAGTACCCCCGGCCAACAGAAACAGAAACAAGTGAAGCAAGCTGCCCTGCAGCCATCCGTTGAATTAGCCGCTGCAGGCGAGAATTACATGGGAATACTTGTAAGAGCCAGAACAGGCGAAATACGTCTAATAATTGAGATGCTACATACGTACCTCTCGGAACTGCAAGTTGGCGTTTGGAGCCTGCAGCTCCCGCTCTCGCAGGTTCTTCCACTTGAGGTTAGCTCGCGGGTACGGCAAGCTGCTCCAATTCAACTCGCTCTCGTCGGCAGCCCCGGTGTCTATGATTGCTTTGACAAACGCCAAGTTGACGCTAGCTGCGCTGCCGCTGGTGTCTCGAACGTACTGCCGTTTCTGCCGGCGCTGCATCTGTCATAGCGTACAAATACCCGACGACCGAAGCAGTCAGGCACCTGATACCATATGTCAATATCATTCTCTGAAGCACAGCTACGGCGGATATCAAGCGGTCGCAACCACAGTCGGTAGCTTGCCCTAGACTACCGAGCTCGTGTTGAGTGGAGCTGCGAGTTTTTTTCAATCTTCGTTCTGTAGTCAGATTTGGTGAAAGCAACAGCAACAGTAGCGCCAGCGGAACAAAAAAGATTAAACTTTCGCGGCATCGGCACCAGTGGCATGAACAGGGTCGCAGATTTGATGATTCAGCAGAAAAGCTCTTGTGTATAGTGGCACGTGTTTGTGGCATCATATTCAGGCCCAAACGACGTCCTCGTGGCACAAACATCGATAGCACACCCACTTGTGCTACATCAAAACTTGCAATGGAAACCATGGCCAACATGAAATCAATTCTTGTCCTGGCCGAATCATTTCCTCCAGGCGTGCATGCAGAACGGACCCGCAATTAGGAAAAAAATTGTGAAGAAAAAAGGGCCAAGAAACACAGCTCAATCTCGGCCACAACATAAGAAACGCCTCAATAATAAACAAGATCACGCGATAACCCCAAGACAAAATAAAAAGAAACAAGGAGGTATCCGGGTGGAGCGTTTCAAACAACAAATGCCCCACGGCTGCTGTTGCTGCTGCTGCTGCTGCTGCCATGCTCCCAACCCCTACCTAGCTCATGTCTGTAATTCTTATTTTCGCGGCGCCCGCCCCTCCCGGTGTTTGCCATCGGGGTTGGGTTTTCGTCGCTTGGCAACGACGTTGTAAAACAAGCCGCCCCCGCCCCCCCCGGTGTTTGCCATCGGGATTGGGTTTAGTCGCTTGGCAACGACGTTGTAAAACAAGCCAATTCACTTCGTGAACTCGGCAACCAGGTTACCTTTTTTTTTTTTTACCTCCGGTTTTTTCTTTGGCGGTAACCATAATGGTGGTCGAGTAGATCATGTTGTGCGGGGTGGAAATGCCTCACTCCGCGCAAGGGGGATGATCGCACCACGTTGTGTTAAAACTGTCAAGCACCCTCGAGGCAGTTACACAGTGCGTGCAACTGTCTCTGGAAGTGAAAGCACCAGAAAGTAAATTAAGTCATACGCAGCTGTCATCCGTACGCAAGGAAGTAAGCACAAGATGCCGAAAACCCTTAGCAGGATGCAGCGCACCCTTCATGCGACTCGCCGAATATCTCACGGCGCTTCGCGCTTGGTGATGTGAGAGCCTGGTCCGGTGAGAACCCGGCGTGCTCCGTCCCGGCTTTGTAGGGATGCGAGGTCAATGGTCTAACGACCCGAAATTTATGCTTCTTATCTCCGGGCCCGTTCTGTATGCACACAGGACAATACCACCCGCATATCTTCCTGTGAAGGTAGTTTCTGGTGAATGCTGCCACTTACAGTACTCCTAAGCTACGTGCCAACACATCACCTGCTGTAGACTGTAGACGCAATCACAGGAAAAGCCGGCGTGTAGGTCGTGAGTCAAGCCAATCGTTGCTCTGCAGCACACTTGATTTCTTGTGTTCGCAGATGCCGTCATGATCAGCCGTGGCGTTTGACAAATGTAGAGCACATAAAACACATCGATATCAAGAATGTTCGGATTCACACACAACACGTTTAGCTCGTGATTTCGCGGCTACAATGGCTACACAGGTGCCGCACCTGTAGGTAGTCCCACTTTTTCCGACAGGCAATGCGGTTTCTGGACTTGATTATCCTGGCCACTTCTGCCCACGGTACGTCGACATCCTCATCGCCCGTCAGCATCACTTCCGACATGTCTGCCGTCGACGTCCGGTTGGTGCCGTCGGCGTTAGTTGGTGAAAACAGTCAATGCATCGACCACTGAACATCACACGATGTTTTTGTGACAGGCTCATCATAGCTTAATGTTTCATTTATATTTCTCCGACGGCAGCGGCAGGCGCCACGTTTTGTTGTGCTGCCTTGATGTTTTGGTTTCCATTCGACTACGTCCCTTAGAGAAATTAGTTAGTTGTCCTTTTCGTTGAAGGGTCCTACAGAAATTAGACATCATGATCGGAGTTCGCGTTGGTGTGGTGATCTGGGTGCTGCAGTGCCGTATACGACACAAGATAACACCCCCCCTGGACCGATTTTGGAAGCTTGATTACGTCACGACGAAGAGAATGCATAAACCAAACAAGACACTTTCGGAAAGCTCTCGACAAGACGGAGTCAACGCAGCCATTTTCGGCACCCCCACTCTGCTGTAAATAATCGAGCTTTCGAAATCGGTCCAGGGGGTGTGTTATCTTGTGTCATATACGGTAGTGCCTTATTCCTCGCTGCTCCACTGGTCTATCAAATGAACTACCAGTGTGCTTGGAGGAGGGGAAGACGGAAGCGGGGGGGGGGGAGGAGACACCCCTTGACCGAGTACGGAGGGCAGTATGGGGGATGCTGTATGCCGATGATGCCGGCGTCGTATCGAGGTCTGCAGAAGGACTGGCGAGAATGATGACCATCATCGTTGAGGTGTTCGGGGAGTTCGGGCTAACGGTGTCGGAGCAGAAGACGGCGACGCTCCTGATGCGCGCCAAGGACAAGCCGACTACAAGATCACAGCCCGCCCCGCCTCCACCACTGACCATCGAAGCCGCGGGACAGAACTACGCCCAGACGACCGAGTTCCGGTACCTCGGTGGCCTCGTCAACGAACATGGCGACCTCACCCGGGAGATCAACTACAGGAGCAGAGGAGCGTGGGCGTGCCTCAGGCGATATGGCCGGGAGCTCTTCGACAGACCGAAAGCGCCATTCCGACTCAAGATCCACCTGCTCCAGGCGGAGGCGATGGAGGTACTACTGTACANCCATCATCGTTGAGGTGTTCGGGGAGTTCGGGCTAACGGCGTCGGAGAAGCAGAAAGAGACGCTCCTGATGCGCGCGAAGGACAAGCCGACTGCAACATCACAGCCCCCCCGCCTCCACCGCTGACCATCGAAGCCGCGGGACAGAAATACGCCCAGACGACCGAGTTCCGGTACCTCGGTGGCCTCGTCAACGAACATGGCGACCTCACCCGGGAGATCAACTACAGGAGCAGAGGAGCGTGGGCGTGCCTCAGGCGATATGGCCGGGAGCTCTTCGACAGACCGCAAGCGCCATTCCGACTCAAGATCCGCCTGCTCCAGGCGGAGACGATGGAGGCACTGCTGTACGGTTGCATGACATGGTCACCACTCAGCGGCCACTATCAGACGCTGCGGTCGATACACCACCGACTGCTCCTTCGAGTTATCGGATACAAGCGCAAGGACACCTACTGGCAGCTCTCTTACGCCAAGACGCTGAAGCGGGTCGGATGCCAGAGCGTTGAAGCCACGATCCGACAACGACGCCTACTGTTCGCGGGAGCATTGGCAAGGCAGCCAGACGGACGACTGCCGAAACGACTGATGCTCGGCGAACTGGCGGGGAGGCAGAAGCGACGTAGGGGGCGACAGGAACAGAACTGGCCGAAGTGTGTGCTCAACGACCTGAAAGCATTCGGGG